TCGAATCCTTATATCCACGAAAATAGGTTACACCACTGTATTATAATGGCTATCTATGGCTATAACATAGGCCTATATAAGCAATAATAATTATAGAAAGTTTACTAATTCTATGGAAGGAGGGCTAATCTACCACGGACTAAGATATCATATCTGTGTTTTTCTGGGCCGATTCGATTAGGTAGGTGCAATTTGGTTTAGATTAGCAGTGGTGCACAAATGCGAAATTCAAATCGGCGATTTGGCAATATGGCTGCCTCTGCTGATAACCAATGAAAGACCGCGATTTTGATTATATTAGCAACTTCCACATGCCGCCATCTTGGAAAAGCCTAATTGAATCGCCTAACCACCTCCTGGGACGATTAGCCAAATCAGATTAGGTAAACTGGCTCACAAATGTACCGATTAGCCTAATCGTCCTGGCTCACAAACGCACAAAATAGCTAATCTACCTAATCGAATCGGCCCGCAAAAACGCCTCTAATATTATATTTTTATGTTAGTGAGTAGCCTAGTTAATACGTCAGGTTTAGTGGTTTAAATATTCTATAATAGTTATAGATCCGGGATATCTATGAATAGTACCGGTACATGTAAATCAACCCGATTAATATCTGATTTGGATGTTATGTTTCCTATTTTTTTCCGCAGGCTGTTAAACTTTTGCCGAGATTCCTCTACATATGATTTGTGGAGTTTTGACCAAACAGAACCAAAACAACTTCATAGGAAGTTGTAATTCATCAGTGAATAAATAAGGCTACTGCCTACAAGCAGAACGTTTGGTTGGATGAATTGAACTACTAAATGAGCCAGAAAAGAGATCCGTGCAGGCCTAATTGAGGCTTGTAGCCCAAGGTGTTAGGGGCAAGAGGGATTGATAATATTTTACAAGGGGTTATTCAAAGCATCACAATGATGCTAATTAATAGATTCGATTTTATAGTTAATAGTAGGGTATTTAATTTGCTATTCTAGATAATGTTTTCACAATTGGAAAGGCTTGGCAATCACTTTTAGTACTAGCTATTGTTACTGGGTCACTGGCTGTACCAGGTTATTGTAACATGGCCACTGGCTGTACAAGATTATTGTTACTGGACTACTGATAGTACCAAGTTATTGTTACTTGACCACTTGCTGTACCACGTTATTGATGCTGGACCACTGACTATATCAGGTAATGGTTCCTTGACCACTGACAGTACCAGGTTATGGCATGGACCACTGACTGTACCAGATTATTGGTGCTGGAACACTGGTAGTACCAGGTTACTGTTACTGGGCCACTGGTTGTACCAGGTTATTGATAGTGGACCACGGTCTGTACGAGGTTTGTGTTACTGGGTCACTGGCTGTACCAGATTTGTGTTACTGGGCCACTGGCTGTGTCAGGTTACTGTTACTGGGCCACTGATTGTACCAGGCCATTGTCACTGGACCACTGACTATACCTAGTTTGTGTTACTGGCTATACCAGGCTATTGGCGGTGAACCCCCTAGTTGAACCATGTTATTGTTTCTGGGTCACCGGCTGTATCAGCTTATTGTTAGAGGACCACTGACTGTACCAGGTTTGTGTTACTGGACCTATGGTTGAACCAAGTTATTGTTTCAGAGCCAATGGTTGTACCAGGTTTTTGTTACTGGACCACTGGCTGCATTAGATTATGGCTACTGGAACATTGGTCGTCATTGGTTCTAGACAACAGGTTAAAATACTTACTAAACCGCAGTTAGTGCAGGTTATTGTTACCGAGCCACTGGCTGTAGACACAATAGTGACTACAGTTTTTATCTGATCTTGATGAAACTTGGTATGCATGTACAGTATATATTGATGAGATCTCGGTCAATTCGAAATTGGTGATAGTTGGGCGACTGGTTTCGGAGTAATTGTCCTTGATTTAGTAAAAACGCGGATTTAGGAAAAAAGCGTCAAATTCGGCTCGCAGGCACGATAGAGACTACAGTTTTTATGCAATCTTGATGAAACTGGATATGCATGTATATATTAATGAGATAACGAGTTAGAAATTGGTAATAATCGGATGAACAGTTTCAGAGTAATTGCCCTTGTGTGTACCGCGATGAGACATTGTTCATGTTTGAATTTGATGGTAATTTGATGAACTGTTTCAGGTTTTGGCCTTGAATTTTAGATGATTTAAAGATTATTTGAAAATTCATTATTAAGCCACTAAAGATTATGTTATCATTTCTGACAGCTGGTAGTGGGCGTATGTTACATTGCCTGGCAAGCTATCTTTATTTGAAACTATGAAGGTATATATATATTGATGAATTCTCAGTCAGGTTCAAAATTTGTAGCAATTGGATGATCGGTGTTGGAGTTAACTTAATAAAAACGCGTCAAATTTGGCTTGTTGGCACGATAAAAGCTAAAGTTTTTACCCGATCTAAATGAAACTGGCTTTAATCTGATGAATGGTTTCAAAGTAAATGCCCATGTGTGTACGTCGATGAGACATTGGTGATGTTTGAATTTGACGATAATTTGATGTAACTGAGGTTTTTCCTTGACTTTTAAGATTATTTCAATCTTTATTGAAGTTCATTATTAAGTCACCAAAGACTTAACTATCATTTCTGACAGCTGATAGTGGGTGTATGTTATCTTGCCTGGCAAGATATCTTTATCATTTTTATACGCCCACATGAAATGGGGGGCGTCTATTGCCGTCACCCATGTCCGTCCGTCCACAATTGTTCTTGAAGCGCGTTCAATTTTTAGCTCGTAAACACCCTAGAAGGCACAATTCTTGACGGATATTGACGAAACTTAGCATGAGTGTTTGTTATCACCCAATGATAAACCCTATTGAAAATCAGAAAAATGGAAAATATATTTAGTTTGAGTTATTGCTCTTGTTCTTGAAAACGCGTTCAATTTTTAGCTTGTAAATCCTCTCGATGGCACAATTCTTGACGAATTTTGAGGAAACATGGTGTGGGTCTTCGTTATCACCTAAGGATGAACCCTGTCGAAAATCGAGAAATATTTAATAGGAGTTATCTCCCCTGTTTTTGCGTTCGAATTTTAGCTCTTAAGCACTTAAAGGCGTGATTCTTGCCGGATTTTGACAAAACGTGATTTTATTATTCAGTAATTGAATATATATATAGAGTTTTCAGAGGTAAAAATTGAACACGTTTTCAAGAACAAGGGTAATGGCTCATACTCAATATTATTCAGTATCGCCTCAAAGAGTTCAAAAGAAGTGTATGACTGAAGGTTGATTATTTCATACTGGTGATTGTTACTGTACTACCAAATATTTTAATTCAAAATCAAAGCTGCCAGTAGGCGTATATTTCCTTACCTGGCAAGCTATCTTACATATTGAAATAATTCTCTGTGGCCCCCTTTACCTAATTTTTCTTAGAAACGCCACTGACTGTATGGAACCCAGTATGTTGTGACTGACGGCCTAACCACATAAATTGAGCTCAGCATAGTTTTTGACATGTTCCTTTAGCAACAGTACGATATTATCTAGATATAAACTACCGTTGCTAAAGAAAAATTGAATTTTTGATTGCCCCACCGTCGATAAATATTTCATCGTTCTTCACATTTGTCTTGAAACATTAAACAAAAACAGGTGTCAAATGTTATTAAGTCTTGAAGTATGTTCAATGTTAACATCCTTCTCAATTTAAATTTCATACGAAGTAAAAAAAAAACGAAGAGGAAAGAAACAAATCGAAAAATCTAGCTTCACTGTTGCTAGTTAAAAGGTAGATAATGCTTACCAATCGTATTCCACTACTCTCTGGACAGAACTTTATGCCCTAAACTTTATTGTATTATTGAGCTCCTTGGAAATGTGCATACCCGCCCCCCCCCCCCCCCCGCATCCCCTCCCCAGTGTTCACAATGACCAAGGTAATACGTCCACCTTGACAATTGCGAAGATGCCCCCCCATCTCGTCAATACCCCAACTGACCACCATAATTCTGCACTGAGATGTAGGAAGTATAAGTCTTAATGTTTAGACACAATTCTAATACATTATAATTCTCGAAACATATAAGACACGATAAAAGTGATTCACAATTTGTTACAGATTCAAAAGATACAAGGTTAAAAACATTTAGCTAAAGGCTCATGACTTCAAGAAACCCACCCAGAACCTTTTCGCCTTTATTCATTATTTTAAGAAATATGTCAGGAAAATTGTTATCTCGTCGGAATGATAGGCAATGGGCATTTTTCAGTCTTCAAACAAATTCAGTAATCACATGAAATAGAAAGGTATAGACACCGTTATGGTAGTTCAGGACATGAAAGATGTTGAAATGAGAGGAAGGCTCACAGATCAAGGGAGGAAACATTAAAAATGGAATTCATTTTTTAGTTCAGACAACCTAAAGGGAGGTAACACAGACATCTGTTTCTATCAATACTGACAATAGTCGACTCTCACTATGGACTCACTCACAGTATGTCAGGAAAATTGTTATTTCATCGGAATAATAGGCAATGGACATTTTTCAGTCTTCGGAACAAATTCAGAAATCACATCAAATTTAAATTCTTAAATTCTCGATCTTAGATGTCTTAGATGTTTCCTCGGATATTCTACAAAATAATTAAAATTGGTTTATTTCGATTTTCTTTATGAATCCTTCACTTTGACCCATATTTCATGAATGCGGCAGAATGCGTCACCTATTTTCGTGTACAATGTTTGATCTATGAAGAAATCGAGAAAAACACGTTGTATGGATACCCAGTGGTAAAATTAATTTCTCTTAGTACTTATCTTTAATATCAATTCATTATAACTAATGACAATTCCTTCAAAGAACCACAATTTTAAAAAAAAACAGTGAGTGACAAAATAAGATACGTAGCGTGATTTATTGCTAAAAGTCACTGAAACAACATAAGAATATGGCCCACTTTGTGTTCCATAGAAATTTTCTGCTGACACGGAATCTGCTAGTTGATCACGTGACTTCATTCGTTGGACTACATTCTAGCACACGACACTTGGAATTCCGATTACCGCTTGGGATTATAAGGGAATTCGGCCGATAAAAAATTGTGACGTTTGGTAATAACTGAAATCCGTCATTTTGTATTTGTCAAAGTATACATTTTACCTTGCTTGAAACTACTGGATTCATTCTACTAGCTGATATTGTAGAGATAACACATGTTTATCTAAACAAGCAAATGCGAAGGTCACGCGAGATCGAACATTATTAATTATTTCCGGAAATGCACGAAAATAGGTTACTTGACTGTATATAAAAATACTTGTACTGGTAATAATAGTGTACAATTCATAACTTTCACACAATTTCCGTCCTAAGATTTGTGTTTTTCATAAAAATAGTTCTTTGATATTTTCATGTTTAAAGTTGAGTTTTGATATAGTAATATTTTCAATATTGAAATTTCTGACCTTTAAATGAGCTCTTTAACTTGTCTAGATCAATCAAGTACAAGTAAAGGGGATATTGAAAGGTATAGACACCGTTTTGGTAGTTCATGACATGAAAGATGTTGAAATGAGAGGAAGGCTCACAGATCAAGGGAAGAAACATTAGAGATGGAATTGATTTTTTGTTTAGACAACCTAAAGGGTGGTAACACAGACATCTGTTTCTATCAATAGTCGACTCTCACTATGGACTCTTCTTTATCTCTCCCTTTTGGGGTTTTTGCATGCCTATTTATGGATAATTTTTGTTCTAGATTTGGAATTTGATTTCTGAAATTGCATTATCTTTAAAATTTTCATGGTCATCATATAATGAATTTTTTTAGGAGACATTGAGGATTGGTCAGGCTTTCATTCGACATATTTGAAAGCTTTCAACAAGATTTCTGGAAAAAGTTGTAGAAGGTTGAATTTTGTGTTTTAACATGGGAAGAGATGTCAAATGAATTAGTGGAGTGAGTCCATATATGAGTTTCACCCATCGTTTCAATGTATCTACTTCCGATTGATTTGGCAGTAAATATATATCGGTCAATATTATGGTCAGCTATGATTACCTGTCGAGTAAAATCCAAAGTGAAAAAAGCATGGTTAATGACTTATAACTAGTTATATTGGTGATTTAAACATATATAAGTAATGAAAATAGCAACACAGTAATTTTACAGCATCATTTTCTTTACAAAATAGATAACATTCTGCCCTGAAACCCACCAACTGGCAGTAGATACATTAAAACGATGGTTTTTTTAGTATTTTTATTGAACAATAGTTAGATTAGTATGAAGAGGAACAGGTCTTATGTGAAGGGAAGATAGTCAATGAAATGATTCATATAAGGTTGGGATTATGTTTCATTACGATAAATGGTAGAAAATTGTCTGAAGATGGTCGTGACAAGCGTTAGCCACAGATGGTAACCCCCAATATGAGACGTCTAGATTTTGTTTTCGCCTGATATGATCTGTCCACAAATTACATTTATCAATTCTCAAGGTATTGGCGATTCATGGTAAATGATTTTGTCATTAACAAGGGATGAACCCAATGGGAAATAGTCGTACACGAATAACAGAACAGGGGTTACAGCAATATAGTCCTCATTACAATAATTAAAATATTCCAGTTTCCCAACAACAGTGGAATGTATTGGAATCGTCTTTCAGCACTTTTACCAATCGTGACAAATAACAGGAATGTTTAAATTGACTTATTACCCATGTATCATATATTTGAATATTAGCACTAAAGTTGGCACGATTCTACGACTGATTTTAACAAAACTGTGTGGAATTGTTTGTTGTCAATGATGGGCGAACTATTATTAGATGGATTCGGAAACAATAAAAATATTCAACGGTAGTCATTCACCTTATTCGTCATAACACATTGGCTTTCATACTTTCTTACTATATACCATGTCAGCGTATCATTTAAAGTAAAAATTTGTAATATTTTCGGATGTGAGACAATTTGTGACTAGAAAGACTATCTTGAATATTCCATTCTTGTTGGAATTGCGCCTTAAGATAAGAAATGTATTCAGCTTCATACGAACAGATCTTGTTACAGCCTATAAGCATTCAGAGTTTTCCCTACAGTATCACAGTGTGACCACAGAAAACTAATACGGTCCCAAGCAAAGTTTACAGTTCTCGGTAACTATGATCATCCATGTACAACGACATGATGGCGACATCCACAGAAATAAAAATATGTTTTATAACTCGTCATGGTTTTCAAAAGCAACAATTATCACAATTATTTCTCTTGTTAAATAAGATTAAATTGTCAAACACACTATTTTGTCAAGATCGTTAAACACATTCACTTCTATGTTATCAAAAAATAAATTAAACAGTTGAAAGGCTTGACATTGTAAACATCAATACTATTTTATTAGACTTATATTGCTTACTTTGCTTCTCCAAAATAATAATTCAAGAATATAATCCAGAGCTCATGTATCCAGAAGAATGTTCATATGGATGTTCATTAAATTTTTGAAGGCACGGTTCAGATTCTTGTGTAGAAAGCGTTGTAAGAACAGCATCATTGTAGCTGTCACTGTCATTTATTTCGTTGTTGTAAATAGGATTTGGTCGAATTTCTAGATAATTCTGAAAAATAAAAAAATATAGTGATTTGGATAAGAGGATACATTCATTACAAACTGATATAAAAGAGGCCTAAACAATATTTCTAATGGTGGCTTTGCGGTCCGAAATCATGAGTGTTAAAGTAGAGTTATGCCTTCTAACAAGATATCTTGTAGCAATGTAACATAAGCCCATGACATAAAGAACATCGATAAAACTGGCGTTCAGAAGACAGATACATGTGAATGTTAATCCTTTGGTAAAGTTTTGTATAAATTAAGGATTAGATTAGACGACGTAGTTTACTAATAACGAAATAAGAAGGTAAAATAGAACTTCTCATGAAATCAATATGGGAGGCAAGAGACTGATTTCTGAAAAAAAAAATACCTTTAATTTGATTTTTTTGTGTGATTTTTTTCTTCAAATGATATGAGAGAACTTTGTTCATTTAAATACAATGGCCCGAGACAAACATATTGAGCAGATTATTTTCACACTTTCCAGCTTTCAAGGACTAACGCATAAAAAGCAACCGGATATTACTGCTCTTGAAATGAAAAGATATTGACTTTTATCGTGTTGCTATCTGCTAGATATAATTGGACATGATATTTTCGTATGCCATAATTTAGTTACTGACAAAATGAAACCATATACAGAGAATCACAGTATTGTTAAAATGAATTTCAACCAAATGGCGCTACAAAGTAACAAAAAAATACTAAATAATGTTATATATTATATAGTTATAGTTATATGGTTGGATAGATAGTTCAGCAAAATCCCCCAGTTATACATTTTCTGGTTGAATGTACATTGAGTGACTGAAATTATTTGCTATGCATGGTATGTGAAAACTAGTAGGCACCACAATTTCTAGGTAGATAAAAACTTTTTTTTAACCAATCAATAGCCGAGTTTTATCCAGAGTGGCGATGAACCACCAAAATAAATATCAGAATCTGCATATAAATCAGAATTGGTATAAAAAACAGAAAATATAAGATAGTAAGAATAAGCTTAAAATGGCTGTGTGGAGTGGCTTAAATTATTTTAGATTTTTTAAAATCATTTTGTTTGTAGATAATGTACTAATATTGGGTGAACTTTTTGTTTATATATTACGAACAAGCTATGATCTATAGTTCAAATATTTGATTTGAACTCCACAGCAACTTTAATTGAATACAATATGAAATTTAAACTAAAAAAAGTAAATACACATACAAACAACATTTAAACAAAATAAGTAGCGACATACTAGCTTTACAGCTCCCAATAATAAATTTTCCATCAATTCACATAATTTTAAAAATGTTGGTCTTTTTCTCGGATCTTCATTCCAACAACCTCGCATTATGTCATATCTGAAATGAAATAATAATACAGTGCTACATCCCAGCGTTCCCACGATCAAAAACGTGCCAAAGATAACTCTTTGGTGGTGTTGAGCTGCCAATTGTGTGTATATGTAACACATTCTGAAAGTACTCTAGGGTGGTGGACGGTCAACGTTGTGCTGTGGTTGGTTGTACATGAATCAGCGATCACTCTTAGCTAGTGTTGAGAATAGGTTTTGCCAATAACCCATTTTCACCTTGAAGTCCTCGGAAGTGTATGTATTCAGATCGAGAGAAGAATGGCGCTGCTAAGGTAATTTCTTCGGTCTTTTAGTTATAAAGGCAACTACATAGGGTTTCCACATATCTAGTCATGAGTAATACGACCTATTCATCCAATATCACAAGTTTGATGTCATCCAGTACCTTCACCGTTTACTTACAAATCTTTTGGACAATTAGGTGGTCTAGGCATTCTATATCCCGACCGATGGAGATCGGCCATATTTTCAGCAGGAATTCCAGGGTATGGTGAGGCACCAAGTGTAGTTATTTCCCATAACAGCATACCATACGACCACACGTCACCTTTACTACTGAACTGACCCCACAACAAGGCTTCTGGGCTCAACCATTTAAATGGAAGTCGACCCTATAAAGAAACCAACCCAGTTACTCTTTTCACTATTCAAAATGATCTCCAGGGCCTTTAATAAATCCCCAAATGATATTATAAAATATAAGTTGAAATGCTTTTAATGAGAAGATAGCATTCGGTTATGGTACGGCAACCTCGCATGCAATATTGAAACGGGTAAAAAACAAAAGGCAAAAATTCCGAAATCCGGGATCAAACAGCTAATTTCAAGGTGACCGAACAATCGTCGAAACGCCAGGGTAACATTTACAACATTTACCTTAGTTTCTTTTAAATAGTAACCATTTTCATAGACATCTCGTGATAAACCAAAATCTGATATTTTAGCTACTGGACCCGTTGCTAACAAAACATTTCTGGCTGCTAAATCGCGATGTATACACTAAAATATACACAATATATATCTTAACTAAATTATAACGATGGTGTCGAGATTCTCTTTGTAGTTAAAGTACGGTGGCTCACATACGAAATTTTCCACTTTTTATTTTGAATTAAAAACTTTTTTTTTACTTGGTGAAAATTAATTTTGAATTAAAATAATTGAAGAATTTTAAATTAAAAAACATTTTTTACAAGATTCGTTGAATTAAAGTCTTAAATTAAAAATGTCAGGAATTATCACCCAACTTTCACCTAGGTGAAAATAATTATCACCAAGGTGAAAATTACAGTTTTTAATTCAAAATTACAGGAAATGTCACCTAATTTTCACCTAGGTGAAAATAATTATCACCTAGGTGAAAATTAAAGTTTTTAATTCAAAATTAATTATCACTTAGGTGAAAATTAATGTTTTTAATTCAAAATTAAAAGTGAAATAATTTATGTCGTATGAGTGCCACCGTATTAAAGAGCCCCACAAGTGTAGTAGATTTATATCAGACCAAAGGTTTTTCTAATATATTACCTTCAGACTCTCCATATGACTCATTCCCTTAGCAACCTGCCAAGCAAACGACATTAATTCTCCATCTTCTGTGATTTGTTTCGTTTCTTCTTCAGAAATATTTCCATCAGCAGAAACACTGACGTAATTATGACTATTTGAGCATTTTTCTTTTAGATAGGTCAATAGGTCTCCTAACTCGGCCAATTCCATTATTATCATGCTTTGACCTGCAATAAATAAACTATTGTAAGAATATGTATTTCCCACAACTCATATAGGTTGAATGATTTAATACAAATATAACAAAAAATCCAATAGCAGATCACTTTGACGTGCTACATTCAAGGCTCTTTTTCATTTCCCGATCTGCAACACCATACAGAAACTCGAAGTATTATAGGCCTTCAGATAGAAACGAAATCGTTATTTAAATCAATCGTTCAAAAAGATTTTCCTACACAAATTGACACAATTTGTGAAGGAAGATAATTGTCGTAAAAATTTTGAAATAAATATATTATCTGAAAGAAAAGCAAAATCATATTTTAAAAAAAATTTAAAAATCAGCAACAAATTTTAATCTCAGCAACATTTTGAACAAATCTTTTAAAATCTATATCAGCGCCCTATATAAATTGATTGATTCTATCATCACATCCTTCTGAATATCACTAAGCTAATAAAGGAATTCGGTCATCAGTAAAAAGTATCTGTTTGAATTAATCAAATATTACTCCCGGCTCTGCAATATCCAATTTAATATTATAAATAATTGTCGAAAATATAGTTGTCAATAAATAAAGAAGCTAGGAAAATAGTGTCAATTTGGAATTATAAATATTAGAAATATAAAAATATAGATAATATAATAACAAAAAAATAATATAAAATTTGGGGAGCTCTACACTAAAGGGACAGATTCGCCATTTTCGGGTGTATTTGTGGGTCTTGAATATAAGTCAATAGTCTTCAGAAATACTAGGAATACTTCTTGTATTAAAGCTGAGTTGTAATATAGGATAGTCCAAATATATCAAACTGTGGTAAAACATATTGATTGTTAACATCGTGCGCAGTTGTACGAATTATAAATGAGTCCAGGCATGTAAAAAATCGAGGTTTAAATTATCAGTAGGCCTATTACTTGGAATTTCATACAAAACAAGTAAAAATGGTAACTCGAGAAAGCGCAGATATGTCAAATTGCAGTATTGTAGTAAGGTCGACTAATTGAAAATGCACATCCGAAGGCAATTATCGATGCAAATTACCAATCGTGTGGAATTGTGAAAAAATTGCCAGGCGTCGATCTGGTAATAAAGAACAACTTTACATACAACAGTCTGTGAGTTACTTCGTTGCAATGCTACTAAATTAGTTCAAACTTATGGAAAATATATATAATCAAAAGTTGATAATGTTTTAATAACCGAAAGCAAAAAAAAAGAGATTTATAAAGAATGTGAGCGCTCTGAAGCTCTCCGCAAACTTAGGTGCCATAGAATCAGATCAACAGAAACTCGATTGTTTACGTAAAGAGTTCTTTAATAATGATGGTACTTTCAAAGACCATATTACCAATTATGTACATTTCACTGACCAACTGAAGAGAAGAGAGTTTGTTAACACTAAATGAAAGAGGATGGACGAAGTTGGAAGACGTGGAATTATTTATTTGATGTTAGTATAATATCATGTTTGTCAGTTTTTACTTCTAGATTCTTTTAGTTGTAGAGTAAACCAACGTAATTACAACTATATAGTATATTGTCTCATCAAAGTACTGTTAAAGTGAATGAATATATCCTTTTAATTCCTAACTAAAAATTATTTTTGTTTTGTAAACCTGTCCTTTAAAAGCAATTATTATTTTAATTAGAAGTGCTCTTTACACTTACATAGGTTTTGTCTCCTTTTGATAGAAGTAAACTTGGAAATGTTAGTCTAGCCTGATGTCCTCCCGGCAACGACTTTTCTTCGATGAATTTATTGTCACCAGACATTCAATAGACGATGTTTCCCAATAAAACAATTACTTATACTATTTCATTCTTTTTTATTGAAAGTGATAAGAAGTGTTTGAACAGCTGGAAGTTTCCCAGGCTAGATGAAATGCTACTACGACAGAAATCATAACAAACAATGTATTTAATTAAGAAGATATAATTTCTCATATCAAAGAACTTGCTAAAAGTAACACAAATACATCAAAACCATTCCATGCGACTTATGATGTATTTGATCGTATTGTTGAGAGTAGCATCTACTCATTACGACATACTGTTTCATATAAAATTAAACCAACCATTTACTTTCTATGTTATAAATTTCCAAGATATTATCAATATACACAAACATACATAGGTTTCACGCAATTCATGGTGTAAAACATTAATACTTTCTCGAGTCCACCATATAAAAGGTCAATAATTAAATCACGATTCCGTTTACACGGTATCACGAAATTTGATTGGATAACAGCGGTCACGTGAATTCGGTTTATATCTGTGTAAACGGAATGTAAATATAAGCTGCACCCCTTAACGGACTATTTTTATCATTGAGTTTGATTGACGTGGCCACGACACAGCGTCGATGTCTTTCCTTCGAACGTCACCAGAGCCGAATCTACACTTCACTGAATGATTACGTTATTTTCCAAATTCCCTCGAATGTGCATATTCTTAATATCAACAAAATCGTGAATTTTGAACTTATTTCGAGCCTTGGCTTTCAATAATTGAACATTAAATGTGGCCTCTCCGTCAACTTTCAAGCAGTAGGCCTAGACAGTAGACTATAAAAGGTGACTTACTTATTGCTGATTGGCTGTTCTCTACGACGTCTCTATTGTTAGTATCAGTTCATTATTGTTGTGTTAAAATTTTTGGTATTTATGCGCCACTTTTGTGCCCTAGTTTGTTGCTATTTTAGATAAATATTTAAACACGTATTCGAGTTGATTTAATTATAAGGAATGACTTGAACCGCGTAGCGGTTTATACATAAGTGTACACAGGTTTTTTCTGTTTATACATCGATAAACTGAAAAAATGTTCAGGTCATTCCTTAATTAATTTCCAATTAGATAATCAATCAAAATCAAGATAATATGATCAAAAGTGCATACCAAATAGCAAAAAGATAAAATGAAAATAAGAAGTCACTAAAGTATATGTCTACAAGCCAAGAAATAACTCAAAAACCGTTACAATAAACAATATGGTCAATTTCGGAAATACGTCTGCGTTACTATGTGGGCGTTTAAAAAGGTGAGATCATCGAAGTACGTATCTGTATTCTACGTAGTAGAGTTGTTTCCTGATAGAGATATTGTCAAACAAAATCAGGAAAATTGTGGTGTAACTTGTCTCTGGGGCATTATTGAATAGAAATCTTAGCATTGTAGGCTAATTCTTTTCCAGAATCATTCCGGTCTAATCTTATCTTAGACAGTGACAATTAAAACCATCGAAAGAATCGGTATTTGAATCTAAAACATTTCTATTTTATTTTAATTTTGTTTAAATCGGATGTTTAGCTTCTAACATTGTGTTGCATGCCAACTTTGAGCAATGATTGTTTTTATCATTTAAGACCAATCACAGAAAACTGTGATGTTTCGTCAAGATGATTGACGACAGTGTGTGCAGATCAGAGATTTGAATTTGACAATAATCTAAGAACCAGTTTATCTAAATAATATTGTAAAGAAGCTTTCTAAATTTTGTATGTGTATCGAGGACAATGATAGCATCAATTTAGGCCATTGCAGTTTTCAACCAGACGTCTGTGGTTCCAGCAATTTTACTTAAACTATGAGTGTTTTATGACATCACCCCACAAAGGTCTTAAGAGACGCAAATTTCGCTAGGGTGACGTCATAAATCACCCCCAATTGTACCCCCACTTTATTTTCAACAATGCACAAAATCAATTCATTTTTTCTGAAACTTTCTCGAGAGAACCCTTTAAGACGCTTTATGAAAGGCTTGCGACTATGACACCACCACAGATTAGCCAAAATTTGAATTCAGTTTGAGCAGTTGTCCCCCCATTGAATCAGTCTGCCCCCTATTTGTACCCCCAGTCACGGAAGGCTGACGCAGCCACTGATTGAAAATTGGTACAAATTGATGCTATCAGTGTCCCCGGTACGCATACAACAATTTATTAAATTCTCTTTACAGTCCTACAGAAAATAGTAGGTAAATACCAATGTCTTTACAAACTCTCCATTTAAAACTCTATTTAATTTGATTAAGTGCAAAACTCTAGATGCTATATATAATCATCATTAAATTGGAACAAAAGGCTTATCTACAAGATGATGACACCATAACCATTTTGTGGAAGATAGATTTGCAATAATAATGTCTTAATACTGACACATTATACTGAACATAATATACAATTAAAGTCTTCATCCCATAAACTTTCACACATTAACTAAAAATAACTATCTTTATTGGATTAAGATAGATTTGAACCTTCAGACAACAAGTACTATATTGACTTATCTTATGACACGTTATCATTAATTCCGACCTTTCCATTCATTATCATTAAGTATGGCTTTATATAAGTTTTAAATTACGATTATCCAGAAATTTGGTAATACATAATGTTCCAGCGTCAAATTAACATGAAACAAAAGTTACTGAAAACCAAATTGTTTTCGCATTTCGTCCGACAAAGAGGATAGATTCATTAAGCTGACTATTTTAGCCACCTATCAGAGATAACCATTTTTGGTCATATTCTTAAAAATTGTGTTGGCCATAGAGCCAAACCTTGTGCTGTTAAAGGTCTACTTTACTAACGTAAATACGCATCAACAATAAATGTTGACTTGAACGTACTTGGTGACTTCCATGAAGTACAATAGAACAAGAAGCAATAATGTACACGTTACAATGTTAATTTAGTTCAGGTTAGACTGATTTTCCATTGCGTTGTTAAGACATTTTTTATCTCATGAAAGCTTTTCCTCGCAATAAAAAAATATATAGCCTACTGAAATTATCATGTCTAGTGATTTGATATTGGCACCGTAATCTCTTGTTCAACCCAAACTGAGGAGAAAACTTGTTGTAATTATATAGAGCTTTGTAAGAAAAATATTGGTCGTCGATTATAATTTGTTCATTAATGAAAGGGTTATGTAACCTTATCAATGATTTTTTTGTAAGAAATATGGTTATATTTAGTATCAAAGATACTATCTGGTATTAAAGTAAGGAGATACAGTACTGCAGTATTCGGTATCAATGTGAACAGATTCAGTACTGTAGTATTTAGTATTAATATTAAGAGATACAGTACTGGAATATTTAGTATCAATGTTAAGAGATATAGTATTGTAATATCCAGTATCAATATTAAGAGATATACAAATCAAAGTTAGGAGATAAAGTATTGCATTATCTAGTATCAATGTTAAGAGATATAGTATTGTAATATCTAGTATCAATGTTAAGAGATATAGTACAGTTGTATCGGGTATCAATGTTAAGAGATATAGTATTGTAATATCTGGTATCAATGTTAAGAGATAAAGTATTGTAATATCTGGTATCAATGTTAAGAGATATAGTATTGTAATATCTAGTATCAATGTGAAGAGATATAGTATTGCAATATCTAGCATCAATGTCTAATAGATATAGTATTGTAATATCTGGTATCAATGTTAAGAGATATAGTATTGTAATATCTAGAATCAATGTAAAGAGATATAGTATTGAAATATCTAGCATCAATGTTAAGAGATAAAGTACTATAATATCTAGTATCAATGTTAAGAGATATAGTACAGTTGTATCTGGTATCAATGTTAAGAGATAAAGTACTATAATATCTAGTATCAATGTTAAGAGATATAGTACAGTTGTATCTGGTATCAATGTTAAGAGATATAGTATTGAAATATCTAGTATCAATATTAAGAGACACAGAATTGTAGTATGTAGTATCAATATGAAGAGATACAGTATTCTAGTATCAAGGTGAAGAAATATAGTATTGAAATATCTAGTATCAATATGAAGAGATACAGTATTCTAGTATCAATGTGAAGAGATATAGTACAGTTGTATCTGGTATCAATGTTAAGAGATATAGTATTGAAATATCTAGTATCAATATTAAGAGACACAGAATTGTAGTATCTAGTATCAATATGAAGAGATACAGTATTCTAGTATCAAGGTGAAGAAATATAGTATTGAAATATCTAGTATCAATATGAAGAGATATAATATTGAAATATCTAGTATTAATATTAAGAGATATAGTGTTGTAATATCTAATAACTCCTTTGTTTGGTGTTTATAATGTCTATTTTCTTGCGATATTTTACGATGAAATGTATCGTAAACATATTTTTTCTGTACAGATCTTAATATTTAATGTTGTTGAATATTGATTCAGTTATTTTGATTCGATCGACTCGGTTTTAGTTTATTCATACCTATGAAGTTAGGATGTGTATGCTTTTAGGAGCAGACTAAGTTATCAATTCAACTAACATTTCAAAAATACTTGTGGTAATCTAATACTATTGTCTTGACAGATATTGATGTGAGGTACTCAGACAGTCTTAAACTGAGATAGTATCTTATTCTCTAGATAACCGCAATTAAAATTGATACACAGCTGATATAAGCCCTCGTAACCAGGAAGTTAAATTGTGAAGTACCTCTTATTACAGGAAACGAATTTTAGGAACGACAAATTTATATTATAAACTGCTTCTTACAAAAATAACATACATATTATTATAATTAGAATATACAATGGGTGTCGTTGGATGGTAAGAATTCATACCAATTCAGTAACCGGCATCGCCAAAATTCCTGAAATTGGAACCTGAGGTTCAAAAACGCCAACCTGTTGGCTACTACTACTTGGTGCGGTTGTTCGGTTTGGATTTTACAGAGTCCCCCACCCCCCGCCTAAAATAGATCTGAAGTGTTTCAGAACAGGTATTTATTCAGGGTTCTGTGTGGCCTCAGTGTGCATGTACTACCGTCAGCTTTTGTCGATTTGCTACCTAAAGAATGAAGACTGTGGAATAGGCAGATGTAGGTCAGAAAGAGTGAGAGAGAAACTTGTTCTGCAACACTTCAGTATTTGTCTATGTCTACTTTAGTTAATGCTGTTAGGGATCGGACTCTAATTTCGAAACACCCTGTATACCAACCAAACATCTGAACCCCATCCATACAAGTTATGGATACAAGTTGTGGATACAATCTGATACGAACCTTTTCCTATATAATAAAAAAGCATCGAGAGGAACTTAATGACAAATTGATCTAAAAACAACCTAAAAGAGATCGTTTCTGATTTCAAATTTATTAGGTAACTCAACTCGATGAATGTGGGAAAGCTATTGTCAATTTCCTATTTCTTCCTATCTTTGTTAATTAAAATGCAAGAAGTATCATGGAAATGAATAAAAGGTTTCTTGCCACCATGAACAATTATATGAAAGAACGAGTAAAATTCCATTGACTTGGAATAAATAGAAAGAGTACTTTAAAGATTTTGATTACCTCTAAATTTACAGAAACCATACAAACTTATGATATTTGCATGAGAACCAATCAATTTCATTTGCTCAAGTTCCTGTTTTAAAGAATTTATTTCATCACCAGAAGCTGTATCTGGAAAGAAACCCAATAGATAATTAGTTAATTGATTTCATTTATCCATACAATTACGATTTATTAATGAATACAAATTAGTAACAATAGCGAATTTAAACAGATATACAATGATACACTACGGTATTGCAATAGCATCGAATGTAAATATGATTTTACTATACAACTATTGAACTCACGAGCAAAGGTTAAACAAAAACACATGAAATGATATGAATGGAGTTTTACGTCCTTCTTTAAACAAAAACAAAGGTATAGATATCACATATTGTTCTATTGCTGTGAAAGGGTGCAACTATAAGGTCTGGTACAGTGATCTGAGTTTGGAATGGAATTGGATAAGATATTTACCTTTTATTCTTTTAACAGCAACTTTGAATGTTTTATTATCAAAACTAGTCCCACCATACGCATATGCCTCATTTACCACCCCGAAAGCACCTTTACCCAAGGCTCGACCTATCTTTAACTTTTTAATAGGAATGTCTCTTGCCGAATACTTTCCATCTCGACCTATAGCAAAACCATCTAACCAATCTGACGACGATAGAGTAATCTTCTCGCTTCCCACATCCTTAAATAAGAAAATACATAGATACATACAATTGTATATAGCTAATTGACCCGTCCACTCTTAGATACTACTACATGTATTCCTAAACTTACTTAATAATACGCTGATGATTGTTTAAATCTATCTCAACATAATTTGATTCTACCCCTATTCACCAGTGGCGGAGCCAGGTTTACCCCCATACCCCCCTTTAGCTCCGCCACTGCTATTCACAATAAAGCTTTTATCGGAACTTTGTGTTCTACCAGGAGATAAGGGGAAAAGGGCCACAAGGTCAAGGACCCAAACCGCAGAATTCTCTTTGAAGGAGTCCACTTCTAGTAACTTTTATTCTCGATTTTGCAATCCTTTGGACGAGATTTTGATTAACGGAATTGTCTTGCTTGTGTGGATTTTTATTATCTGACAACCAGTAAATTATATTGGATTGATATGTTTAAGATATCAATGGTTAGATATGTAGTAATTAACCTAGTCCAATACCTTAAATGCGTTTCTTCTACTAAATCTATGATTACCATATCGTCTTATATAAAAGGCCACAACCATTATCAATATCACTGTACAGAAAGAACTTGCTGCACCAATAATAACGGGACCTGTAGATAAGTATTAAAATTACTTCTATCTGCCAATTACTTTTTCTGAGAGTGAAGATGGTGGTACAGATCAATCGTGTATGGGACAATATGAAGAATAGATATTATCTTCTCTCAATTCAGGAATTTTTAAATTTACAGAACATTTTTGTTATTATCAGCTAGCAGAATTGAAATCTTAATTGAAGTACAATTTGTTATATGGAAAGATGTAGACATGCGGGGGGTATTAAAATACAATGAAGATGGACTGTTATTATTCAAAACTAAATTCACAGTAATTGAAGAAAATTATGTCTGAAATATCATTTTTAGGGAAATAATTAAATTACATTTCTCCCTTTGGGATTATAGAAAGATACCTTTCAATACTTTAATTTGATGAATGTGGACAAACTTGATTTCCTTCCTCGATCTTTGGCAGTTTTCGTCAATGTAATAAATATACAGACCCTGAGGTACAACTACAGCAGTGTACTATACGAGACTGCTCGGAATCATTTATGGATAGGTTTCAGGGATCAGATATAAATAATGAAATATTATTTACCATCGAAATGTAGATCTTCATTTATTAAAGGTGTCTGTTTGAATGTTGAAATTGGTAAGGCTGTTGAATCTGAAAATAAATGATTATATTACATACGGATAAAAAATATGCAAAATGACCCTTCATCTTACAACAGCCTTATTTCACAGAATAGGATATGAAAATTTGGAAGATTTCTCTTAGTTTAATTGGAATGTCAATCGGTTACATATATGTTGAAATATTTAATCGTATAATAGTCGTTAGATTGTCATTCATTTCTTAACTTTTTTTTTGTAAAGAGCGCAAGAACTAGCGAATATTACTACAATTTTATAAAACTCTTTAGATAAATTAGGAGGACTTCGTGCCTTTATTCTAATCAATAAAAACCTTTTAGTTTCCGACCACTTATATCGGCTGTGTGAAGTTATTCGGAACAAAGAAAGTATAGAAGTTTGTTAATCAAAAACATTTTATGGATAAAATATGTTTGAATGACATTATTAATTAATGATATGAAGAAAGAAATATTCAAATCACTGGACTGATGAAACCATAATTTCCCTCGAGAATCACCCTTATTCTTTCCGTATTAGTAAAATTTAAATTAATTTCCAACGGATATGACATCAGTACGTTACAAGAACTCCTAGTAAACTTCTTGTTCTAGATATATATTAATCAAAATTCGTCTCAACCACTTAATTGGGTGAGAAAGGTTATAAAAGTACGAAAATACAGGCCGAGGAGAACAATTAAGTAACATCGATTGTTAGTTAGGGTATGATCTGTTGGAAATCAATTTATACCATAGCAAAATCATTCTCCTTGTAAACATGGTAGTAAGCAATAGTTTCCAACACTGAAAACACTTTTCATCTAATGATTTTTTAAAAAATATCACTGATACAGACGCTAAATTTCTGGGCGTGTACAAATCATGTAACACAGCTACAGGCAACGGGGAGGTCAAAAAGCAATTGTCAGTTTTGGCGTTCCATATATGGCTTTCGACCTTACATGTGAAATGTTACGTTCGCTGGAATATAACCACAAACTGAGTATTGACCCTATAAAACATTTAAAGGGATATATTGAACAATAATGCAATTAAACGAAATAATATATAACTTTCGACAATTTGTCATGCTGAGATTAGAAAATTTAATCTTGGTAACAAGGAATGTCATCTTGTCTTGGAGAATATTATAGAATCATTACTCAGTTTGCCAAGACTCAATAATTCATGTTTTTCTTCAACAAATATTTAACGCACAATGGAAATTAAAATGAGAACAGATTTATCAATTTGTTTGGTCGTTGATATCAGAAAGAATTATGTAGCTCGAGATACACTATAAACACACAAAATTACTTGGTATGTGACAGAATGTGAGCTGAAAACATTATTTCCTATAATTATCCTGAGATGAATCAGATGATTTGAATTTGAATTGGTAGCTTTCACGTCTATCAATTTGGATGTAACGACAACATCTACAAATTTGTCAC